TTAAAAATAGTCCACAATGTTCTAGAACATTCTAATTACTCTGATTAATTGTGATCAGCTGTTTTGAATGAATTGAATAAGTACAAAACAGCAGCTGTCTGCAGTTGGTTTGTGGCACGTCATGGCTAAAACGAAAGTGCTCAGTGAGGACCTGGGGCAGCGCACTGTGGCTGCTCACAGCTCAGGAAAGACCCATAAGGTCATTTCCAAAAGTCCCAGTGGCCACAGTACAGTGTTTTTAAAAATACAAGTTCTACACTGTAGAAAATCTCACAGGGCGTGGTAGGAAGTCAAAAGTGACTGCACGGGCAAGTCTGTTGGTGTGAGAGGTGAAGTAGAATCCCAGGACCACCACCAAGGCCATCCTGATGAACCCGGGTCAGGCTGGGGCTAACATCTCAAGGCAGACAGACCAATGGGTTCCGCAAACTGCTGGGTTCCAAGCATACAGACCAAGGAGGACGCCACTTCTCCAAAAGAGGGACACAAAATCACGCTTAGCCTTTGCAAAAACTCATCTGCTCAAAGAAGAGACTTCTGGTTCTTCTGTTTTATGGTCAGACGAAACGAAGATGGAATTTTTCGGCCACAACAATGTGGCTTTCGTTTGGTGTAAAATAGGAGAAGCATTCAACCCCAAGAACACCATCCCCACAGTCAAACGTGATGGTGGGAACAGAATGCTTTGGGGGTGTTTTTCAGCCAATGCATCAGGCTATACCCCCAATTATACATTGTCTTATATTGGGACATGCCTGTGGCATTTCCAGCCAGAAAAAATTCTTACTGGTTGAATAAAAATCACTTTAAATCTATCAGGGGTATAAATGATGTTGGGTTTAGATTAGATTAGATTAGATTAGACTTTATTAATCCCACAATGGGGAAATTCTTTGAGAAACAGCAGCAATAATGACAAAGACAGTACAAAAAAGGACAGGATCCATAGGATCAGCAAAAAATAACAATACAGATAATAAAAACAATAGAAAACAATTTCTAAAACTGTATAAATATATAAGTAAAAATGTAAGAAAAAAAATGTAACGTAATGTAAATGTGTACACACACACACACACACACATATATATTTTAAATTATTGGTGTGTATAATTTGCACAAACAAACCAAGATTTTTTGTTGCCCACTGCTGTGTGGCGACTTCTGTTTTAAAACTTCTTTCTAAACTTTATGCTAAAGTTTTTTTTTTGGAAGTAAGACCAGCAAATAGTAACCACTGTCCATATTTATAAAAGCCATGGGTGGCAATAAATTTGCGATGAGTCTTCCAGTGCAACGTAGAATTAATTTCATACAGCATCCTGCTCCGCACCTCTACGCTCTCAAGGGTGTCCCGGTACAGAAAGGGTTTGGTATGGTAAAGAATCCTATATTAAGATAAACTCTGACATAAACCACATGTTCATTAACACATACAGCTGCTCAACTCCGCTGTCACAATGGATTCTGGTGTCTAATGCGTGCGGATGTGGGAACGCAGAGTCTGCGTGTGGAGAAGCATGCGCCGGCCTTAGTGGAGAGTCTGCACCTGCTTTTGAGTTTATGCTGAAGCAACAAAAGGGCCGTGTGACAGACTTACTTAAGCACGGAGTTAAGGCTGATCTGTACGTCCGTGTACATGCTACGTAGCCACGTACCACCCTCACCATTTAACACGTCCTCAACCATTTAGTAGATCTTTGGTTCGCTGATTTTTTTTTTTTGTAAGTAGGTCTTAGTAAAATTCAGGAGGAAGGCAGTCCTGTCACATTCATTAACAGGGGTGTTATAAGCCAGTCAGTCCTCGAAAATCTGCAGTAGTTTAATAGTTGATGATGACTGGTGGTGGCATATACTTAAACATTCTTCTTCCAAAAATATTCATGAAACACGCGCAGGATGGATGAGTATGTTAGTATTCTTTGCTAATATTATTACTCATGGGATCTTCCACAGAGACTATAAACCATTTAAAAGTGTTGTAGGTGGTTTGCATTGTTTGATGTGTGTTAACAGAACTAACTGTCAACTGTAACAGGGCTGACTTTGAAAGAAAACTTGCTGTCAGTCCAGTGCTCTTGGTAATGGAACCGAGAGAGTTCCACCTATTACAGAATGCAGGTGTGAATGTGTACGAAACTGAGATGCATAGTCAGTGTAAACACAGGAAGCAGCAGGCCTGCTAACCTATTTAAGCTCAACCCAGAATAAAAGCTGAACAATTTCTGTAAGTATGGATCAATCCTGTTCTCTTTAATAAGAAATACAATAGCAGTAGATGTGAGATCCAAGTGATCTAACCTTAATGCTTGTGACTCAGCATTCCTCCATCTTCCAAATGCTTATTCTGGACTTGGTCACCGTGGAGACTGGAGCCTGTCCAACCCTGGATGCCAAACCATCACAGAACACATACAGTCACCCGCTACCTGCAAGACAGAGATGATAATTACCCTAAATGCATGCCTGTTTTCTTCTGGAGAGAACTGAGACCTGTTTCACAAAGCCGGATTTCTTGCTTAGCTGGGTAACTTGTTTGATTGACGGTAGTCTGGGCTAAATGCAAGTGGATGAAAATAAAGTCCATTTAGCTCAGACTACCCTAAATCTGTGAAGTTATCCAGCTAAGCAAGAAATCCTGCTTCGTGAGACCGATCCCTGGAGCACCGAGAATAAGCCCTGAATGACAAAGGGAAAACGTGCAAACTCCACATATGCAGAGCAAAAGTGGGATTCGAACCCCCAACTATGACAGCATACATCCCCACGAACCATCATGTATGCTAGTTATAGGTCCCAAGAAGTCTTAAGTACTTCTTAAGAAGTCAGCATGTCCACTCTTTTCTGTTTTCGGTGGGGGGGGAGTTGACCTTGGACCCCCAGAGGTTTTTTTTCTCCCCACTTGGGAGTTTTTGGTTCCTCTCCTCTGTTGTCTTCTGGCTTTCTTTATTCAATTTCAATTCCTTTTTTTTCCCCGTTCTGTATCTCCCTCTACTTTCGTTTTATGTATCACAACACAACCCTGAAAAGCTCTTTGGGACAACTCTGTTGTGAAAGGCGCTATATAAAAATGAAGTAGGCTCAGTTGTAATATTAATTAAATGAAATGCATGAAATCATGGGCAAAACAGTGGCACAGTGGTTAGCGCTGTCAGTCCACCCTGGCTCCATGTGAGTGAAGCTTGCATATCCCGTGTCATCTTGGGCTTCCCTCTGAGCACTCTGGTTTCCCCCCACAATCCAAAAACATACTGAGGTTAACTTACCTCTGTTACCCTGCACGCTCAGCTAATCCAAAATAATCAATATGTAGTAACAAGGGCGTTGCTAGAGATTTCGGGCCCCATGAAGGCATATGATATTGGGCCCCCCAGACCAAGCCAGTCACTTGGGGGCCATATAGGGAATCGTCCTAACTGCCCCCCCTTACGGCGTTCCCTGTGTAGCCAAACCAATGACCATAGTTCAATAAAAGTGAAGAAAAAATAAATAAAACGCATTTAGTTAAATGTGAATTAGGTTAAAGGTTAAATAAAAACATGCAATCATCTGTTTCATGCTTGGAAAATTGCATGTAAACACAGAAAATCGCATTTATCAGGTCTGTATCCCAAACACACTTAAGTCATGTCCATGATCTTATGGACGTTTCCAGGGTCAAGCCCCTCTAATCTTAAAAAAGAAATTGTTTTTCTTCTTTATTTCCGCGCTTCACTTCTGGTTCCGCCTATCGTTTCTTGGAATCGGGTGAGCCGTGATGAGAAACTGATCTACGGGTTTTAGTTGCGTTGTTTTGATCTTACAACTTTGCTCTCATCCTTTGTCTATTTTGTGTTACTCGGTACTTGTATTACAATACTTGAGGCGTAAATGCTCGAAGACATTATCCGTCTGAAACCAGCGAAATAACCAGGAATGTGTTGCATTCTGACAGGCCCATGCCGCGCTGCAGCTTTCTGCTGGTGTCAAAGAATCTCCGATCCAACGGAAAACTATTAGGCGCGCTGCAAGGGGGGTCCCCGGGATTCCCCTAGGGGGACGCCTGACCCGGGAAGGGGGTTGGGGGGTCCCATCCTCGGCGGTTCCTTCAATGAGCACGATCCGCTTGACATCTGCGCGCTCACTGCCGCCGCCCCCGTGGGCTGACAGGAAACCCGCAGTTTCGCGGTTCCGGCGACGCTGCAGACTGGAGCAGGTGCAGCGCGCTTACCGTGGGATGCTTTACGTGTCTTTACATCCCGGTGAAAGCCAGTTTCCTGTTATCTACCGACATTGCGCCTTTGTTCCAAAGGCACTGATCTGAAATATAGGGCAGCCTATAAACACGGATTAACAAAGAGTGACCCACAAAACCGACACTTTGTGTCCTAACATTTAGTACAAGTACGACATAACAGAAAATCAGCAATCCTTCTGCAGCATTAAGCTATGTGCCAGTTTTATGGCAAATTTAAAAATGGGCGGTCTCGTCTTAAATAAGCAAAATAAAATTAGGCCTATGTAGTAACTCCTCAAATGGCACATATATACACTAGACTTTAAATCATACGCCCGTTACATTAAATCACATCAATCCACGTCAGTTCTCTTGGATTTTGACTGCGTTCTGAATGTCAATGAACAGGATTTTTTTTTGCAGCCTATTGTCGGTTAGTTGTTTGGTTTAACCGGTTAAAATTGTTTCGGCAACATCGATTAGGGCGCAGCAAACGAATTAAAAACATACAATCAAACCCTATAAGACAGCAGGCCCATTTATGAGAATAAGAAGTAGCCGTATACTATAAATGTTTCTTGTTATTTTGTAAATACTGCGGCTGTTTCTGCCTGAAAAGCCGCAACAAAAAATACCCACGGATGCATAGTTATGTTCATCATTATACAGCGAATTGTTGTATGTGTATCATTCGGGAACTGTAATTTTTGCGGTTTTTTGCGTGGGAGGGGGCTGAATGCATTGTCTAGGTTGTATGCACTGCTGCTCCGCTCATTATTCCACAGCAGTCTATACTATATAGGCCAGTCAGTCTCTGTACCTGAATGTGCAGCAGACCGACGGCGCTTTATCGGTCTTTCTGCACGGTGAGCGCTTCCGCGCTGCCACAGCAGCGTACGAGCGACTGACATCCCGCCGATCCGGACCCGGGCGTTAAATGGCCATCAGGCTGGGGGCGACAGTACCTGGGAGCCGAGGTGCAGGCGACATGAACCACGTGTGGATTATAACTCTTATACTCACTACCAGCCATTCCCGGTCCCTGACCGGCTGCCAAGGTGAGTTATGCCAAACTGGTACCCCTAATTTACAAAATGTTAGTAAGTAGGCTCAGAGCTCTCCGATTATAAAACACCACTTTTCACACTTATTTAAAACTTAATTGGCAACGTTGTCTTTGGTACTTCAACGTATGGATTACATTCGTAATTTGAAGTCGATCAATGGTTAATTGTACCATATTTAAGGCTAATTTACATTAATTCTGTCCCGTGCTCTGTAAGATCTTATACATTCTGCCTGGCATATGCACATGAGCACACAGTTAAACAAATACAGCTTTGACCATTTGGTGAACAAATATGCATTTTATACACGTTTAGGCCTATACCCCTTCCATAATTTAAAAAATGAGTAAACGGTGGAATTAAGAGTAAATTTAAAGTTTTACCGTAAAGCAGATAATAAGAAAATATGACTGTAAATTCATTGTTTTATGTTTTGATATCTTTTAGCTGACTGAGACAAAGTACTTTGTTAGCTGAGTAGTAGCAACGTTTCTTAAAAGTGTTCATTTAAAAATGAGGAAAAAAAATCTTTAAAAGCTATATAGACGCAGAGAAATAACTGATCTATGAAGGCATTAAAAATCTCACTCATGAACAGACAAGAGATAAAAACGTTAACACGCTCTTCGTGGGTGAATCATACTTTCTTTTCCACTTGTTTTTAGAGCCGCTGGCTTCAAAGCGCCCAGGCTGATTTGTCAGAAATGAAGGGCATAGCAAACGGCTCCTGGAGTCAGGCTGCTTTCATTGTAATGAACGTAATGCCGAGAAGGTTTATCTAAAGCATAGCTCTAACCCTCATTGCAATGCCTTAGAACTGTGCGGAAGGTTTTTAATGTCATCGATGGTGGTTAAAACTGAATTGATTGAAAAGAGGCACTTGCGCCGATGGGTTTACCTGGCTTAACTTTGGCTGGAACATTGAGGGGTTTGAGGTCTCCACCCATTATAGGGGAAACATGATTATTTGGGGGGGGGTTGTATTAGCTGGTTTTTATTTATTGGGGGGGCTACAACCCCCCCATAATTTACGCCCATGCCTGTCAGTATGCTGAAGGACAGCTTTTTATCTCCCCCAGGCAGCCCTAACCTCTTAGAAAAAATATCCATCGTCGACGCCACCATAAACGAGACCGTGATTGTCTCCTGCGGGGACCAAGGGAAGGACTCCTCTTCTGTCTTTGAATTGTTCAAGTTCGAGGCCAAGATTGCTTCCAGCGACTTCGGCGGTAACCAGACCAAGGCGGCGAACCGGACCATTGACTTTGAGGTGGCCTCCGGGAATCCTCAGTTCAGGCTGTACGGACCGATGGTCAACAGAACTGGGCTGTACACCTGCGTGCCAAGTAACACGTCTCTGGAGCTGGGGAAGCACACCATAGTCCATGAAAAAGGTACATACACGTGCAGCACCTGGGCATCAGGTGGTCAGACAGGACCAGGAAGGTCTCCTCCCTCCCAGACCCTCACCCACACCCCGCAGTTTAGTCTCGGCCAGCAGGTGGCGCTGCAAATGCAGACCTAGCAGTCGACGAACAGGACCAAGATAGCGGAGGTTTCACCGAAATCGCGAAAATTGTTTATTAACTGGTGTCGGACTTCTAATGCCTACAGATTGTGAGAGGAAGAGTTTTTTCTCAAATTTAAAATTGCGTAGTATTGCGGCCTTGTACGCGTTAACAGCAAACTTGGATATCCGTAATAACACATACCGTTAAAAATGTCAGCTTCGAAAGGTTGGCATATTAATAAACCAACCCCAAAATAGCACATTTTAGTTTTCGAAGCCCCCCACCCCCCATTACCCATATGCTTCGAACGTGAGATTTTAATGGGGCACAGAATATAAACACTGGGGCACGTGCCCCGGTAAAAGGGGTCTAGCGACGCCCCTGGCTTAGGTCATTAAGCGGCATGATCTCTAACACAGTGAAATGAGTTGAAATTAATGTTAAGGCTTTTCCCCTGTACAACTTTATAAATGAAATTATCAAATTCAACTTGTTTCCTCAGCATTTCCTGCTACATACCCCAATGCTCACACAGTAAACCTTGTTTTACTGTTTAATTGGTGAGTTTTGCTGTCTCATTGATTTACAGAAACATTGTGCTTACTGCCCCAGAAGCGTAGCTGTTTACCTGCCAGTGAGCCCTGGCCCTGGCCAGCTGGATTTGTGTTGCTGATCATCTGCTGTCTGGTCATCACTGGCATCGCCATCAGGATTGGGGTGAGGGTGCAATACGGCTTCCACGCTGCACGCACTAAGACACTAAAATACCTCCCTTCAAAAGAGCATCATTTCTGCATTTTTGAGTTTTAAAGAGACATGCCTCTAACTGAATTTCATTTTGAATAACTTAATTCAACATTTAATATGCTTTTTAAATATGATCCTCTGTAGACTGTAGACACTGTAGTGAGATGCTGGAAACACATTCAGGCATCTTAACTGTTCATCTGCTTAGCTACACATGAAGGTAAATTCTGGAAGCGCTTTACATTAACGGCACCTTCATAAAGCATTCATAGAACATTCATAAGCAGCATGTAAGTATACCTTAACATCCGAACACAACTTAACTGCTTTAATATACATTATATGATTAGACTATTATAATGTTTATTATTGTCATATAATGCTTGTTATTAATGTATTTTATAGCTGTTTAAGTATGTCAGGATGTTAAGGTATACATACATACTGCTTATGAATGTTCTATGAATGCATTATGAAGGTGCAGGTAATGTAACGTGTTTCCGAACTTCTTGCCCTTGTCTCCGTGTTGTGTGTATAGTTGCATATAGTTGCCACCACATAATTCAGTGCTCGTATCAGCAAGCAGGCATACCTAATAAACTGGCCACACAGTGTATATTAGGGAATATTACATGCTTCAAAATGAGTTGAAATGGTTAAGGATGTGGACTGTGAGCTGCTTAGGTTCAATCTCCAGCCGTCAGTTGTCCTGCATATTGTGACCGAAGAACCTGTCTGTGTTCCAGCACAAACTCAACAGCAAGGACAGCAGCCAGAACGACTACATCAATATGAAACCCAGAGTAGTGACGAGTCACAAGAAGGCACAGCAGTCACGGAAAGCATGTCAGCCCTAGGGGCCTCTTTGGAAGGCGTCTGGCGAAAAGCCAGGAGGCCTGAAGGCGAACGGACGCTGTGAGACGCAGTCAGGCCCCAAGTGAACAAAAATACACAAATAGGTGAGAATCCCAGAGGAGGTGAACCTTACAGCAGAGATATGAACTGCTGAGGAATCCACACCTGAGCTACAGTCATCTCCCTGTCTTCTTAAAGGAAAATAATTTACTGTGCAACACAAAGAAGACTATTCCTGCAGTGAGTGATGCAAACTCTGAGCAGAGCGAGCCAGACGGTAACCAGAACCATCTTCAGAACTATCCTCAGGTCCATCTCCATCATCAGGACAGACATTCTCTAATTTATTCAGCATCGTTCCCTGAAGCGGATTAAAACTGAACAGTGATGCAGGTTGTTGTTTGTACTCATTTGTTTGTATATGTCAATAATCAAATACAGCCAGTGTTATGAGCCAGTGTGTGACTATCACTTGTGTGCCCTGTTTACATTCCTCGGGACGTCAGATTTTACATTACGATTTATAGCTTCGCGTAATTTCCATGAAGACTTCATTAGAAGCTGGAAATTTGTTTTTCTGCTTGGAGAACACTCCTCTTTTGCCACAAACACTATATAAAACAATTTAAAATATTTTAAATAAAAGAGAAGATTAATTAATATCATCCATCCATCCATCTCCAATTTCCCAGCCGTTTATATACTGAAGGACCATGAAGACACGGAGTATGAAACACAAGGTAAGAAACCCCAGGAGAGGATGAGTATTACCAAAATGTTTTGTTGGGGCTACCTGCAGAATTCCCATAGTAGATAAATCTTATATTATTCTGGTTAATGTGGCATCATGATTGCTAGTTATCAACCATTCTTTAAATCGATGCTTATTTAAAAACGGATTCTGTCGGCAGAACTCCTGACGCTCGCATGTTTACGTCAACATCAAACTCCAAATCAAGGGTTAGCGCGCCCCCCAATGGCCAATATCTTTTCACAAGTTTAGCCAAAACGTGTAAACGAATTCATATCTGCAGTCATTACGAATGCCTTCGCTCATCAGTTATTAATGAAAATCAACATTTTATCAGATATCAAAAATGTTGTACCCTTCGTTTTAAACATTTTCAAGTCAATGTAAACACTTTGATATAGAGTACAGTTATTACTTTTCTCTGTGTTCTGAGTCGAGTTCTGTAATACACCGGAAGCTGTCGTTAAATACGTTTTTGACCCAGGCATGTCGATGACAATAATTTCCACAAGTGGGCAGTATTCGCTACCACGATAAACACTTAGTTACGTTGCCATAGCGACACAGCACAGGACTTCCTCAAAGAGATTCTCACACCCCGACAATGCGTCATAATCAGAGCAATAGAAAAAAAAATCATTTATGATATTTTGTGTCATTTGTTCCAGGGATGACTGGAAAATAGTGACTTAAACCCCATTCTTCGTTTTTTTTTAAAGGAAATCCTCTTTTCTAGTGAAATTTGAGAGATATCGTGCTAACGACTGATCAGCATATACAATTTGCATAGTTTAACCATGCAAAATAACGAAAAAAAAATCGGAGACATTTAAACTGAAAATAAGATGTCCGTTTGAATGTTAAATTTGAGATTGATCAAATTCACAACTTTCAGATGTAGTGTGACAGCCTGAACAAGCTGAACGCTCCCACGTATGTGGCAGTTTAGGCGCTGAAAGCAATTGGGTATGCTCTAATTCTCATTATACATGTAATCTGGATATCAGACTGTCGTCATTCCATTACAAAAACTTATGGTTTATACGCCGTAAAGAAAATTGCTTGTAAAGAGCTGATTATATGTGTTTGTTAAATATTACATTCAAGACATTTACATTTGTTTATTTATCAGATGCCATACAGGTGACATACGGGTGACATACAGGTGCCATACAGGTGACATACGGGTGAGGCAGGTAACATATCAGAAACACACAGGTGTCAGATGCCAACTTAGACACCCGTGCTGCCAGGTTCAGCTTCCAGTGAGGGACTGGTAAGGTGCAAGTTAGCTGTGGGAGAGACAGCAATACGGACACTGCGGAGGACCCTAAATTAGAGATGCTATACATAACATGTTGCTTAAACAATGCAAGACATGCACATATGAAACCATCATACGATATGTGGGCAAATACTGTGGTGGAGGGCAAAGTCCTTCACACTGCTCTCAAAATCCATTAGCAGCATTATGCTGATTGGATACAGTAGGTTGTTCATTCAAATCTCAAGGACGGGCCTTTTGCTGACACAGTGAGAGGGGTGCGGAGACCGGAGTTGTCTGTTCGAATGGATAAAGGGGTATTTTTGTCATGCAAAAAAAAAGAAATAAAAAATAAAACAGTAAAAAAACATAATAAATTGTATTTTTGCATAGCAGCAGAGGGTTTGGCAGCACTGGGGAAATTCCATCTAACCACAGGAAGGAGTAAAAAAAACAAAACAATCGCAATTATACAAGAAGCTGTGAAAGAACAGAAATATGCAGCATGAGAATATGACCATTTTAACTTAAACGGCCGAACCAGAACTGAAGCTACAGACAGCGTGCCAGATTCAGATTCTCTTATATGTAACCAATAAACATGCATAATACACAGCAGTACATAACAGTACTGACCCTGCCGCCTCCTCAAATGCCAAGAAAAACAACCTAATTCAGTTAAAAGCCAAACAGTGTTGCACACGACATAGCAAGCATTGTTTTATAGCAATAACTGCATTTGTCAGACGCATGTACATTTTTTTTTCAGATCACCTGCAAAGCAACTTGTGAAACTGAAAAGCTTGCGTTTTTTAAATTGCTAATTATTAACTTGAAAATGCTGCTGCATTTGCCCCTGATGTGACCCGGCTGTAACAAATTCAGTACAATCTTCTAGCCAAATGTACAAAAATAACACCCATCCATCCATCCATCCATCCATCCATGACAGGATTGTGGAGAAGCTTGAAACCTTGGCACAAGGCAGTCTGACATCCGGCACAGGATGCAAACCCTGCTGCAATATTGGACAGGCCTCTGTGTTAAAATACTGTTGGCCTTAAGACTTCTGTGTATCTGTATCTTTTGGCACAGATTATACGAGTCACAACACCTGATTATGTGTTTTATAAATGAGTTTTGCAAGCAGTTTACCTCCCTCACCAAAATGTACAGTCAATATGAGTACAGACATTTACAATCTGCAGGTTCTTGCAAGGTGAATACTATAAAGAATAAAAATGGATTGTATGAGGCTACAATTTTACTCCAATCACCATGTCATTTAATAGTATCAGCAAATTTCCTGAGAGGGACCCATAGGGGGCGCTCCTTGTGTCCTGTGTTGCCCGGAAGAAGCTCCAGGCCCTTGGTGACCCTGTACTGGATAAGCACTTGGAAGATCTTTGGCTGGATGGATGAACAGAAAGACTTCTAACCAGACGGCTGATATCGCCTTTATCAACTGGTGACAACCGACAGTCTCTGATTTCTACTAAAATTTAAAAGTACATTTTTAAAAAGTCTTGCTATTTGCAAAGGAAAAGATGCATAAAATGATGCTATAACCCATAATGAATGCAACATATAACCATGCATTTCCATAATATATTAAGTTTCAAAGTATATCTTAAGTAAAGCGTTCTTTCTGTATGACTGGTTTAATTGCACAATTAATCATTAAGCCACTAAAATGACATACTGTTCTCATTACTTCGTGCACATCCCATATTTCAGCCGATTTGCGAGGTTTTCAGTTGCACTGTGGCTCAGTTTCTCAGAATGTTTGCCTCCGATTATGCAGAGTCATTATATTGCAGGTTTTAACGATTTGCCATTTCGTCGCACATTTTGAGCTTTTCCCTCCTGCTCTCGTCGGAACGAAAGTCAAATTGCAACTTTCAGTTGTTTAACAAGAGGTTATTGACGGTAAGGCAGAATTTCAAATTACGAATCGTGCTTTTCAATGCCGGGAAGTTTGTGCATCCAAACAAAAAAAAGTGAAAACAACCCATTATCAAATGTCTTGCTTGAGAGTCAAAGAAATAATATCCAGTCAGTAGTGAAACATTATCCCCTGATGAGCCTGGATTTGTAAATGAGCAGTAACTTATGAACCATAAAAACAACTAAATGCTTTGCATTTACACGTGTAGGCCACTGTTCAGAAAAGACTGGTCCTTTGGTTAATTACAAAGGATTTGGATTAAGAGGATGACTTGTAAGATCCCTTTGTTGATAAACAATAAGAATTACTTGTTTGTTTCATAACAATGGCAAACATTACAAAGACAAATCTTTATTTCTTATCAACAGGTAGCATTTACCGTCCTCAGGAAGATGTGGTGAAGTCACCTAGGATACAGACCTGTAACGGGAGACTTCATGCAAAGGGAAGGACCAAACCTGCAATAAAAGAGACAAGAGATGTGAGAGATGAGACAAGTGTCAACAGGAGAGATCACAGACAATGTGGGGGGAGGGGGGATGTAGACGTTGGGCTCCCCCCCAACATGTTTCACAAAATGACAGATTCAGAGACATTGCCTTAAAAGAGATGGCTTTTGGTGAGAAGTTCAAGACTCAGACACCGGAATTAACCTTTCATAATCTGGGTAAACAAGCATTCTAACAGACAGAAGCACAAAGTGAAGATGAACTGGTATTCCGCAAAAGATGCAATTGAATCCTGCACTTCACGAAATTCCCGGTTCCTCCCATTAATCTCTGGTGATCGATGTCGTAGGTGGAAGCAGGTCTGTCAGCATCTCGGAGCTCTAGGGAGGTCTGGCAGGGGGGTAGGTCTCTCCACAGGCTGTTACTGCTGGTCAGAGAGAACAGCAGCTTGGATGGGCTGGTCAATGTGTAAAGAAGGGCTCTAAACATACATCGGTGCTGACTTTATAAGCCTGCGAAAAAAAAACCAAAATGACCCAAATGAAAAGGGTATTTTTATTCTCTGTAAATCCACAAAAAAAAAATCTCACTCAGATGTGAGTATGGAAAAAAGTAGATATTTCCACACCATATTTCCACACCACAGGAAGTGAATGTAGCGAATCGGTTGATAACAACTTCAGCAATGAATCAACGGAGGACTGAACTTCCCACCGCTGCTGCTTGAAAGGAGAAATTTAAAGAACATCTTGTATAAATGTTTTAATTTATTCAACAGGCCTTTCCATTTCTGAAGAGAGAGGGTACCCACAAGAGTAAAAAAAAAATAAAAAATCAGCTTATTCAATTTTAGCTTGACTGTCTTTCACTTACTCTCTGCTTTAGTAAGTATTTACCTGCTAATTTCCAAGCAGATCTGCAGATGCTGGGATATAATTGTTTAAAATATTATGAAATCATGCAGATAAATAGCAGGGCAAGCTGAGCAGCCCTGTCAAATTTACATGTCTCCAGTGACAGAGGGCAGAGCAGTCAGTGAAAACATGAAGTCACAGGCAGCTAACTAAAG